CAAGGTTCAGCCTGTGGGGAACAAGCCTAACCGGCCATGACAAAGAAAGAATACTTAATACACGCCTGAGATTATGTTTTATCCCTTTGTCAATATATGCATGAATTGTTGGCATAAAGGTGTAAGAAATTGGTTCAATTGGTAAAGACGAACCATTTTCTTACAAAAAAAAAAAATCATGCATTCGAATTCGTTGTCGATGCGAGAGCTGTATTTGTGGGCGATTTGTAAAAATTCTTATAAACGATCTACGATCTCGAAAGCATGCTCTGACCCGTTATAGTAATCAGAGTCGAAATCACACAAACTTTGTTTATTTAACCCCCCAAAAAAAAAAATAGAGGTGCAAGAAAACGCAAAAAACTATGCCATCATGTGTGTTGTTGACTCCATGCTATGGGTTAGTAGCATACCCTCTGCCCAGTTGCACCTAATCCTTGTCACCATTTTCGTGCAATCAAATGTAGAAGTACTGAGGGCTCAACTGTCACTTGAGGTTAATTAGGCAATATGTGTTTTCTTCGTTTTGATTGGAGTACAAACAAGTGCCAGGCTGAAAAATATAGTTAGATATATGATTCAAAGTGATCATCAGGTATGGAAATGAATTTGCGTTGTTCGAAAATCGACATCTAATGTTGTGACTCAATCAGAAGTTGTCCTCCAACAACTCTTGAATTCTTAAACCACAATATACATGTAGAAACACATATAGGATTAATATTTCCTGTAATAATTAACAGTGGATCTAAATATGCAATGCATGCATGAAAAGAATTAAAAGTTGAATTGTAATTAATGATGTTTCATGTGTCTATACCAGTTCGTACAAAGACATATTTACACTGTAAAAAAAAAAAATCAATTGTAGAAATATATCTACTAAAAATATGTATTCAAAGATGTAAGGATGTATCCCATAAGGATGCAATTTATATACTTATGCTGTCTCAGTGTGTTCATCGAATTTTTAGCAACTTAAAAATCGAAATTGATGGGTAAGAAAGAAAGTGGAACCTCACAAATTAACCTACGGTCTTTTTATTCCGAGAAATTTCCTGAGACCATAACTGAAGCCCTTTTTTTTTTTGGTTTCCCCTCCCTTTGGAACTTTTGAAATTTGCTTGATGTAATCAGGAGCAATATGGTCTGAAATTGATAGCAATATATGACAATTACCAACTTCCTACCCTATAGAAAAAGGGAAAAAGAATTAGCTTGGAACCAAGGTTACCTGGACTGAGGCTTCCAATTGTTGTATACAATTCAAATTCGTTAGGGTTCTAGTGATTGCTGGTAACCAACGTTTTGTGGTCGTTCTGATTTGTTAAGAAAATATTGGTGTCAATAGTGGGATGTTGCTGCAATATGTTTACTAGTCAAAGAAGAGGTGTGGAAAGTTGGGGGAACAGGAGAAGTAAGTAATTGTGATTACAAACAGTAGGGAAAATGTGCTGAATGGACACGTGTAAAGGTCTTTTGTGACCTGAAACTTGAAGACCTGTTGGGCGTTGAAGTTAAGTAGAATGGGAATAGGAAAAGTTGAGGGGATTTCAAAGTGTAAATGTGAATTTAGTTTTATGAAAGAACGTAGAGCTCAATTTACGTTTAATAAAAGAGGATGAAATTCAAGGTATGTTAACATAATTTTTATTTCTTTTTAATTGAAAATAGTTATATTTATACTGCATAGTTATATATTTGTTTTTGCACAAGTGACATATTGAAGCATCTTTTCATAATGTACAACGTAGGTGGTTTGTGATGTTATAAGATATTCAATCAAATGTTATTTCTTGTCTTAATTTTAGTTATGACTATGCTACATATTTATTAAATAGACGTACCATTATAATTAAAGTTAATATTTGATATTTTAGGATGCCATATATTTAAATAGAATAAAATTATTTTGAACATAACATATTAAAATAATTTTGGCACCCCCCAAGGAAAAAATCTTGGCTTCGTCACTGCCTAGGAGGAAATTGGGGCCTATTGCTAACAAAAGATTGTGAAAATTTACCTTTCTACCCTAATTATTTGAAAAATTCTAATGAACAAATTTTGCAAAAGAAACATTGTTTCTTGTCAACAAATTAAGTAACTCATAAAACCACCTGTAATGTTGCTTTAACATATTTAATTTATGTTAAATACAAAATCTACTAGTTTTCCTTTTGTAAAAATATAAGTGTAACAATTTTTCAATTTTAGTTACAAACATTTATGTTTTTTATATAAATATAATGATTCAGAGTAAAATGCCCATAAATAGCTAGTATTTTGTTGATGTAATGCAAAAAACTCATAAAGAACTGGTATGTTATGGGCACAATCTTTTTTACTTTCACATATTTAAAATTTGTTAAATACAAAATCTATCAGTTTCCCTTTCATAAAAATATAACTGTAACAGTTTTTCAATTTTAGTTACAAACATTTACGTATTTTACATAAATGTAATGATTCAGAGTAAAATCCCTTAAATAGTTAGTATTTTGTTGATGCAATGCAAAAAACTCATAAAGAGTTGGTATGTTATGGGCGCAATCTTTTTTACTTTCACATATTTAAAATTTGTTAAATACAAAATCTACTTGTTTCCCTTTCGTAAAAATATTAGTGTAACACTTTTTCAATTTTAATTACAAACATTTATGTATTTTACATAAATGTAATGATTCAGAATAAAATACCCGTAAATAACTAGTATTTTGTTGATATAACGTAAAAAACCCATAAAGAGCTGATATGTTATGGGTAATATCTTTTTTACTTTCACATATGTAAAATTTGTTAAATACAAAATCTACTTGTTTCCCTTTCGTAAAAATATTAGTGTAACATTTTTTCAATTTTAGTTACAAACATTTATATATTTTACATAAATGTAATGATTCAGAATAAAATGTCCGTAAATAGCTAGTATTTTGTTGATGTAATGCCAAAAAATCATAAAGAACAGGTATGTTATGGGCAATATGTTTTTTACTTTCACAAAAATCAGTTTATGTTAAATACCACCAGCATGGCTGTGTTTAGTATTGCTTACGCTTCCTCTTTGGTGTTTTATTCCTAGGCTCATTATATTTATGTGAATTCCGTGACACTCCATTATATTTTCAGCTTTCGCAGTACGCCTCGCGGTTGGTGGGCCCATTAATATTTCCAAACCGCCCGGAAATATTGCCACTTTAGGTAGCAGACTTAATTGGCTTTATTCGATGGAGTCTCTATTCACATCGAATTCCCCTCCCCTTCCCCTTAGATTAGGATAGATTAGGTTATAGAAATTCTTCCATTTCGACAAAAAAAAAGTACCATAGGTGAGGCAAACCAACAATGGTTTTGCCAATAAATTGGTTTCTTTTTCGCCAACCCCACAATACCTCAACTAGATACCCAAAGTTTCAGGAGGTAAAATATATGATACAGTGGTACGCCTCTTGAATGGATTCGACAAGTTTTTGAACACAATGTTTGATGAAATGTTTTCGTGGCTGACTATTCATTGTGCTTAATAAAAAGTACACAAACTTTAAAAAAAAATTGATAAGAATTTCTATTCGCAAATCTGGTGGTGCTGTAATCAAACAATCTTAAATTTTCAAGAGAATTAATTCCAGACTTCCTCTGGTGATGCACTAAAATAATTCAAGACTTATCCTCTACTCTTGACCATCTGCTGCATCGTATTTACTTCTGTTAAAAGAGAGACAAAGCGTCTCTTATGTTCAACAACAATGATCTCTTCCATGTAGTCCCTCCAAGAGCTAGTTTCATCAAATAGTCTACAGACCTTCTTCCTATGAAATCAAGTACAAAGAAATTTCATGAGTCTGATTAACCAACAATGGGGTCCGAGCTGCGACCTCAGCTCATAGCCCGCGGACGAGGGGCCTGGACGGTTGTCAGACCGTCCCAGGTAGTTCACGGCCTAGATGAGACCTCAAAAATTTGTGCGGCTCAGATCACGTCTTGTAATTCCATTTTCACGCCGTGTGGGATCCACAAAAATGTTGTTCTAATGTTACTCGCTGTTGTTCTATTGTTACACCTTGTACAGATGATATTACACCATGTACAAATGGTGTTACACCTTCCGGAGCGGTTGTCAGATGATGTTACACCATGTACAAATGGTGTTACACCTTCCGGAGCGATTGTTCTGACAACCGCTCCAGCCCTGCATCCATAGCCCAAAGAGTTTGGAATGCAGGTCGAAGAGGAACCACTCGAGGTGGACGTGGATCTGAAGCGGTCAAACCGACATGAATGTGACTTGATCCAATCTGGCACGGTAGAACAATAAATGACACCAAATCATAGAAGTGTTTTACAAGATTAATCTATAAGCAGACATCCCTATGAACAGTAACTCCCCACCTGGTATAAATATCCAACTCCTCACAAGCATCGGAGTTAAACCAGAGGAGAAGCCCCGCTTTCCTCTGCTGCTCTCATCTTTGTTGTGCTTCCAGGGTCATAGTTCGACCTTACCGAGTTCTCGCCCGCACGCTACCTGTTCCAAAGCTTATTATTAGTTGGTACTAATTTATGTGAAAGTTAAGTAGATCTTCTTGGAAATAAAATAATGGTTAGGGAAATTATTTGTGGCTATATACATTGCTTGAGTTGATAGCGGATTCGAAAGAATTTTCACCTTGAAAAGTCTAGTTTGATAGTTACGCTCTTGAGAAACTATTCCCTACAATGGTGGATGATGCTAACTACATTTAAACGTGGTCCTCCATGAAAACACTGAGAAATTATAATTATATGAAACACTAGTCAGTAATTTGTTCTTCTTCCTCTCCCTTTCCTTTCCCCCCTCGAGAGTTGGACCTTGCCGAAATTATACGTAAAGCATTTTATAAACTGTTACATTGAAATCCCCATGGCTGCTTTCTGTGTTGCGCAACTCTCTCTCTCTCTCTCTTGTTTCTGTTTCTTTCCTATTTTCTTGTTTGTTCTTAAGCGAGATGAATCTACCATTTGACGGGCCAAATTAGTTCAACATTGAATACAGGTCTATAAAATGTCAATACAATTTCAGGGGCAAGAAAGAAGAGCTGCTTCGACGAAGCTTAATTTGATGTAATAGCAAAACTTAATCTAATCTTTTTCAGGCAGAAGATGTCATAAGCTCAGCCAACCTAATTTTTGTCCTAAAAGATTATATGGCCGTGCTTTAGGTCCATCTTTTCTTGGCAAAACGCATGTGGGATGAGGACGACAGATTAATTAATCAAAAGACCAAATCGTTTTTTTTTTTTTTTTTTTTTGAAAAAAAGACCAAATTGTCATTTACACTGACAAATTGGCTTCGCGGTCGGCTTCAAATTCGAGACAGTACACATAATCATCCCGGCAGCCAACAAATATCTTGCCACCAATCATCACAGGGGAGGAGAAAATATCTCCTCCAAGCTCCAATCTAGCAATTTCTTGAACCATGTCATTCTCTGGTAGTTGACTCGCTCCTCCTGCGGCATCTAAGTTGATGCGGAGGACACTGATACTTCCAGAACTGGTGCAGACGCAGACTAACCTGAAAGTTACAAGGGACACTTTTTGTCTGAGCCAATTCATATTTGAGATTTATGTGGCCAGTCAACCAGAATTATGATTAGTTACCTATCAGCCAGATGGGAGGCATCAGAAGTTAGCTCTAAGTTCTCATCTATATACGCTGACGAAGTGATTGGATATCCAAGAGCTTGTTGCCAAAGTAAATCTCCATTTTCCTGGAATGAAAAGATTTTCTGTGAACAATTAAGCTTGGGTGAAAATTGACTGTCTCATAATCAGACAAAAGAGATCCCGCTACAATCACCCATTTACCCCATGCAGTCACCTCCTTGGACCTTCAGCATGTCAGTTACATTCAAAAGTTTCATGATAAATGAATCCAATTTGGAACAGTAAGAGAACTAATTGTATCACATGCATCTATATCATGGAAGGAAATCAATCCTATTTTTTATTGAATTTAAACACACAATCCTACACAATGGTCATACACTTCCAAGTGACACATGCGTAAGCAGATCAAATGGATTTCAACTTGTGAATGAGACATGACGTGTCCTCATCTAAGTGATTTAGCCAATATTCAGGAAACCAAATCCCACGAGTACGGAAAAATAATAAGCCTTACCAGTTTGAAAGAATAGATGCTTCCATCTCTAGAGCATACAAGTACCTGTGCAAGAAATGAAACTCATCTCAGCGAGTTCAATCTTCAAAAGCATTAGGTTTCAAGTATCAAAAATAAGTGGTAGACCTTTTCGTTCTTTGACCGTACTGCTAAAGTAATCAGCAAGACAGGCATACTTGAATAAAAGTACAATTAGTGGCATATTTTCATAACCATTGGTTTCACTTCAGCTATTGTACGTGTATATACAAACACTAATGGTCACAAAAGTCAATTCAGAGTCTAATTAGTAATGACAAAGCATATTGATATATTCATGACACTTGTCTTTGCAGCACATAAATGCTTTAATTTTTACACACTACATATGGTATCCTGCAATTTTAGAACAAATTCACATCTCGAAAGTGCCCATAGAATGAGCTAGTACATTGACGATTTATATTCTTTTGGGATGATTCTGGTTTTTCATCTATTGTAATCAACAAGCAAGCAACAACTAAAACATTATCTAGTTAATAACCACGCTTCAGGCTACCATATATTAGAGGTGATAACTACTCTAGCTCCAACAAGTCAAATGATCCTAACAGAGGGCTAACCCTAATCCATCTACTATTTTTTCTCCATCCATTCCAATATTTTGTCCATCAAAATATTTATCTTCTAAGAAGTGTCGGTAATAGCTCTAGCTGTTTCTCATAAGTTCGAATCCATTTCATTGCTGAGAGATAGGAGAATCATTTATTTTAGAAATTTTACCTGGGAGGGCAGTGTCTCAGATATGCATGGTCCAGCAAATATTGGCCCACCACAAAGTGCCTGAGATAGAAACAAATGGAATGAGCTTTAAGAGTCAATATCCAGGGAACAAAGCCAAAATGAAGTACAGGATCTTGTTTCAGCCTTTTCACTGCAAGTTAACCAACAATTAATGACTCTCCACGCCTCACAAGGGGTATTCCCCTTGTCTCATTATTCTTGTAACATCTGTTAATTGACAAAGTGCTAACATGCAAGTTCTAGAAGATGCCATTAGCACATTGCTAAAAAATTAAAATCTTAAAACCCCAAAAAAAAGGGTCCTCCATCAGGCCACCTCCTACTGATTTTGGTACAGCACCATCTGTCCTCGTCCACCAAACCTTTTATTCTCATTTGATAACTGCATTCTAGATAGATACAGCAGTTGCTGATACACATACCTCAGAAACACTATCAGCACCCTCACATGCAGACAGAACACAGAGTCACTCTCAGATGAGAAAAGGTACATGGGTACAAAGTCACAACTGCACAAACAAATTTGTTCACTCATTCCACAGGAAATGCACAAGCAGATGGGCTGGATCTGAAATGTTGACGTTGCTATGGTATGGAAAACGGATCTTTTGAGCAATAATACCAGAATCAGAGGCACGACGTGGAAAGAAAAGTTGGTTGGATTGGTAGCAGGGAAGGTGGCTGCTACAACAAACGTTTGGAGAAAGGGAATTTATGGCTGGGGCTAATGATTTCTTAGTTAGATTGAGGTGGTATTGAGGACAGCGGCAGTTTGTTCAAGGAAGAAGGTGGGCTGGTTGGAGGAATAGTGGCAGAAGGAAGATAACATGGAGGGTTTTAAGTAGAGAGGAAGTGGAGGTGGTAACTGCATTGGAGTTCCAATGGTTAGGAAGCACAGTGAAGGAAAGGGACACTGTGTTACAGCAATGGCAGGGGCAAATAGGACAGGAAGGGAGAGGCCCACGGTGGCTGGCAAAATGGGTTGTTCCAAGGAGGTAGGGATAAGTGGGTGGAGGAAAAAGGAAATTCTCAATGGTTTGGCATTTCTATTTACTGTACATTTCCGTTTATTACGTTTGTTAAAATCTGTGTCTCATAGGAGGGGTACTCTTGAGGTGTAGTTACCATGTACCTTCCATTTTGCACCCCAGAAAGGATGGGAAGGAAGAATTTGAATGGGCGACAATTGCACTCCTAATTAAAGACAAGGAACAAAAACCTACATAACTATTGTCCTTTTCCTATTTCTGATTCTCGGGTGTACTTGTATATCTGTTTATTTCTTCAAATAATTTCGTAGCCCTGAATGTATATTCTGAAGGGGTTTCAATGATGAACCTATATATTTATTTCTCTTCCCAAGGATGCTAGTGTAGTTTCCAACATATCAGAAAACCTATTGGTAATCCAGACATCTCTCAGAGGATCTGAGCCTAATTAACCCTGAGTGGTATGTAATCTCTCCTGAGAATCAATTAATAGTAGAGCACTAAGATACGTATCCAGCAATTGGAATTTAACACAAATAGGTGATTTAATAGGTCCATTAACTGAGACATGTAGCCATACCTTCCAAAGAATGGATCCATCAGCATCCAATGAAACAATATTGCCATCAACCAAGCAGCAAATAACTGGAAGACAACGACGGGGTTATATGAAAGTGGCTCTTGACCACCCAGATGTATTAATTTTGTGAAGTCTGTGGGTACAAGATTTTAGACTCTGAATACAATACAGAAATTTGAAGTGCCTGAGAGAAATAAATCTACACAATATCCATGCAAACATCCCACCAGCATTTTTTTCCCCAGAAATGGCACACATATACTAATGAAGTAGGAAGCAACAAGGTTGGTAATAAGTAATTCTAACATACCATTTCCATTGTTAAAATTGATTAAAACAGATCCAAATACAGGTGCTTCTAAGTCCTGGATCCATGATTTACTGCATGATAAATCCTGCATGAAAACATAGCTTAATCCCAGATAGATTCCCAGCAGATGAAAAAAGATGGGCAGCCAAGAACAATACTCATATCATAAGGAACTTAATTATCTCAGAGTACCGCATATGTACACTTGTTTCTAACATGCAGCATGAAAAAGAAAACTAAATCTAAGGTCCCAAAAACTAACAATAACCCCATCTGAGGTGCACTGAGGATCAGGGAGGACAGCTACAATGTCTGCATAGGAGGCCAAGGGAGACAGAGGGGCATTGTCAGTTTTATGGCGATGGCAGAAAGGGAATGGGAGCAAGGACCGCAGCAGCATGGTGGTTTCTGAGGAAGTTGCTGTAATCAAAGCAGTAGCATGACTGGTATTCAGTGGGCTGTAATTCTATGAATATGAAATGAAACAAAACAAAAAGGACAAGAAGAAGAGAGAAGAAAAATGGATTGTTCTTTTCAGCAAAAACTTGTTATATTCCAAAATCAATGGAAGATCCTGGATTTCACATCTGAAACTAGAGAAGGAACCAGACCCATAGACTTTAAAAAGTCATTGGCATATTTGAACCAAAACAAATACAGAGTGCCAAAATTTAACATCAGAATAGTCTAATTGCCACATGGGTTTTGTGCCCAAAACAGACATCTATCTCGCCTTCTTACACAGTTCAGAAACTTGCATAAAGAACATCCTTCATTTAATCTGACATCAATGGTGTAAACACCAAATTCAACAGAAGTTAAGAGTTGCAGATCTAATACCTTTAAGGAATATGCAGTCAGTATCCCACTAGTAGATGCCACAAAGAGCTTCTCACGCATCTAAAAATTTGGAATTGTCAAATTTGGATGCAAGTTATCAGTAATGCAGAGTATAGTGGTAGAGGATACTACAAATGATAACAGCATGTACACCAAAAAGCCATAGAGAATTAAGAGGAAAAGAAGCTTCTTTAGAGTTAAGTGGTTATTTTTGCATAGATCCATTAAAAAAAATTGCACATTAAAAAGCATAAGCAGACGTATGCCAATTGGATAAAGAGAAAAACCCTAAAAAAATTGTATGCTGAAAGAGGGGAGCAAGTAGTTAGAATAAGGTCTCATATAGCCTTTGAATTCCAATTATATTCTTGTAAACTAAATTTTCACTTATATAAGAAAGGCATTTTATGTAAATCAGAAAATGGAATTCTATTATAACATTTAAAATCCTGAAGCTTTACCCAGATAGTAACAGCTTTAATGGAATTTATCAAATCACGCTTTCATCGTTTTTCAAAATTATAAACTACCTCCGGCAGCAGGGGTTAAAGTTGAGCCACTTACCAAAAGTCAGCTTCCTTTGAACTGCCATTACCAACTAGAAATCATAATGCGGTGGCTAACAGTATTCAAAGTCATAAGTACCTTTACGTTTCTTCAAATTAACATCTTCATACTGACAATTAAATTTCCCAAAGAAGTTTCTGAAAACCAAACCACCTATTAAATTTCCTATTGACAACAATGTTTACAAGATGGGTCTACGAAGTGAAAGTCAACCAGTCAAAGAGACAAAGCACTAAACTCCTCCACAATTAGCCACTTCTACTTAAAGGAAAAATAACTGCAACTTAACGGTACACACGAGGAAAAAAGAAAGGAAATTAAGATTAAATAATGGATGACAAACCTCATCAAGAGCAGGTGCACCAAATATACTCCCCCCGCAATAAAGTTTGTAACTACAAGAATAGCCTTTATAATCAAGTCCATACAGATTGTGGTCATATGATCCACACCTGCAGAGAAGATTGCCAAAATGCATTAAAATTTGGATTATATGTAGAGAGAAGCTGCCAGTGAAGTGTGCCTGGTTAATTTTATTATTATTTGGAAAAACTTTTTTTACTTGCATCGCAAACATGTTTTCCACTCACCTTTTTATCCCACATACATCACAACACAAACATTGCTCCAGTAATTATTCTAAAAACCAGTCCATATAGAAAAGCTTAGGTTCCAAGTTCCCTTTGGCAGATTGTGGGTGGCTAAAATGGGGAATAATAGCTGAAAATTATTCTATTGGCTCATAAGGCTACAAACCTGACATTACAGATTGCCAGCAATAAACAAGGGAACCCACCAACCCTGACTGAACCTCAAATAACCAGGAAATAAAGATGACTAACTGAAGGAAATGTAAAAAATTGGAGCCAATTAACTGCTTCCAAAACATTCAATGAACTTAAGGCTGTGATGATTATATTCTGCTATCAAGCACTAGACCTAAATATTACAAGAATTTTAAGGACATTAGTATCTTTTCCATTGTCCACATATCACTCATTCCTTTTGCTTGTCGGAAGAATCTCTGAAATAAATTAAAAGTTCCCAAAATCCGAAATGTTTAACACATGGCTGTAAACTAAGAACTCCAGCAAACACCTTTCCTGTCTTTCTTCCTTTTTAAAATCTTTTCAATGAAATTGACAGTTTTTCTCAAAAACCATCAATTACAACCCAAAAACCATTCCTTTTTTTTTTTGGAGTGGTGCACTTCGAGGAAATGCATCCAAGGGTCCCTTGACTCTATATGCTTGAACAAAATCATGCATACATGCAAGCATTGAGAAGAATAAAGTTTCCTAAAGTATAATGAATTATGGAAAACTATACTCCCTCTAAAGAAAGAAAGAAGAAGCACAAAATAAAACATTACCAGACCAAGTGCCTCAGCTTATCCACCACTGGTTGAGATTTAACCTTCATATAACAAAGGAAAAACAGGTAAAGCTGATGTAGTTTTTACCCAGTTTGAAGCTATTCTGGAAAGGGAAACTAAATAATAAAGTACATGCATTAATAGTTGAAATTTTGGATATGATGATTTACCATCGGTAATTATCCATAACATTTAAAATGCTATTTAATTATCACTGAAATAAGGCAAATCTAAGCCTCTTTATATGCCAAAATACACTCAAGCATATCTGAATAAAGATTTCACCCAAGAAAACCAAGTACATAATTCCATAAGTAGGGACCTATCAGAAAAGAAGGCACTAGCTACTCATGGAAAACAGTTTGTATTGCTCAAGGCTAACCAAGTGTGACTTGGACATTACTATCAGAAAACAAGGTGCTAGCTACTCATGGAAAACAGTTTGTATAGGTTTTGCACAAGGCTAACCGAGCACAACTTGCATATTCCAATGTGATTCAAGTACAGATCAGGGGAATTTTAACAGCACTTGCTATAACACAAATATTTCACTTTCTCATTAGTTAAATTTCACAACCAACCTTCTCAACTGATAACAAAACTACAGTACCAACATCAGGACATAAATGTTCAACCTCACAAGGAAAGAATAGTTTTTTGCTTTTCAAAAAAAAGAAAAGAAAACAAGAATCTGTTTTGCAAATTGTTAATACACTATCAAAGTTCATACTGTAATTTTTGGATCTTAAAATCATGGTTAAGATGAAGGATAAATACTTATGATGGAACTAAGCAAGTTCCAAAACTTGCTATAAACACCTCATGAATGAACACAAATAACTAAGAAACTGATAGTTCAGGTTTAGAAATCAATTGAGGTAATGAACTTCTTCATCAACATATAATATCATCTACAGAGAGGGAGTTAATATGCTTTCATTTAGCAAATAAAAGAGTTATGCACCAGAGTTTATTTGCAAGTGAATTTGTAAAAATACAAATGCAACAAGCAACTTATTGTTTACCAACACCATGTCCAATTCAGTGGTCCTTAATCTATTGCAACATACTTTTAGCATTTGCCAGAGTAACATTGACAAGATCTTTCAAGTCTAGGACTCAGGCTGGAAAGTATCCAAAAGTATAATTAGTCAGTCCCATTTAAAACATTTGTATCTTTTCTAGATTAGAGATTACAAATTTGAAGTCACCAAACAATGTAAACAATGATTGGTCACCTGTTTTACAAATAAATCGACATTAATTTTCATTTTTATTGCCACTTTCTACATGTTTATAAGACGGCATAAGCTATGCATTTGCTAATAAAGGTACCCTTTTGTCCACAGAGATTTAGAAAAAATTTTATTGCTTCAACATTTCCTGAATTGAGACTTGCTGTACTCTCCCTTTTGATTTTTTTTTTAGGTCTTTCAGAGGTGGATTGTCTCCTCAAAACATTGTCTAAAAGACTTTTTTAAAGACAATGGGAAAAATCTTATTTTCATTACTGGGAATAGGCTGGAATTGTGAGAAGAGACAAAGGAAAACAATGGGAAAATCAGTGGGAGCTGGTGCAGACTGGAATCAGTAAAAAAAATAAAAAATAAAAAAATAAGCACCCATGGGATTGAGACTACAAGGAGAAGGAAGAAGTGGAAAGGGCAATGGGTACAACAATCAGAAAGCAAACAGGAAAGATAAAGGGCAGGCAGTAACAACAGTGAGGAAAGTAGCTTGTTATGAATTTAACATCACAAATAAGGACACATGGTGAAAACATACATCTACATAATCAGCCAGTAACAAATCAAGAGAGAAGGAATGGTCCAAAAAGCAACAGGTAAGCATTTATTGTAGCTTTAGAATTGGAATGCACTTCAGTTGATGTGTGAGAGTACTTGCACATTTAAATTACACACAATGCTCTTTAGGCTTTGAATTACTGAGATCCAAGTAAGCCTTTCACTTTTCCATTCATCTTATAATGGACCCCTAATGTTCCATGCAACCCTCAAGCACAATAACAAACAAAAAGCAACGAGAAGATTAACCAAATGCAGTTCAAGCATGTGCAATTGTATAAGAAACAAGAAATGATTACAACAATCATACCTCACCACCAGTTTGAAACCTCCAACAGATGCTGCCATCCGACAGATGCAGAAAATAGATGTTTCCTTGATAGCATCCAACTACAACCTACAAAACAAATTTTCTCAGAGCAAAAATACTAAAAGAAACACAGTTGAGAGCAAGACATAACCTGTGAAAAGTCATCCAAAACTGCAGCCGAACTTTCTATTCTTCCTTCAAGTCTGACCTCCCATAACACAAAGCCGCTGCATCAATTAAAAGGCAGTTAGTAAATTAGGGGTAAAACAATATAATGAAAATAGTGTGCCTAAAAGCAGCATTCTCTCACTCAAACAAATAGAACAGGCAAGCAATTCATGGAGAGCATCAATTCTTGATCCATTACATATTACAATGTCAAAAGGAAAAAGTGAAAAGCATGCTCTTAAATTGTTAATTTTGCATCACAAGGAAAACATAGTATAACTATGTCCATGACAGAGAAGAAATGAAATGAATGTACCATTTCAGCAGAAAAAAATGCAACAATACCAGAAAAAGCTATTATGGTACTTTTATTTATGATTGAGTTCTCCAATTAACCGTTGTTTTCATGCCACATTGACTAGAAACTGACAAGATCTTTTTATCAAACATGTAATATTATGACCAATGAACTTGTTTTTTCAGAAACCTAGCTTAGAATCGATATGCAGTGTGATCACAAAACATAAGTACACCTCAAGGTTATGCTGCTCAACTGTTGTACACATTTCCTTTGCGGTCTGAACAATTCTAAGGTAGGCCATAACTACTTAAAAACAACTTACAAACTCTCAATCCCAAACTAGTACATAAAATCTACAAATGCAATCAAACAGCCTAATAGGGAAGCATGCCATAGGGTGTGTCAATGCAAAACATACTATTTGAAAAATCCACAAGGATGATTTGATATGTAAGAGCTACGAAATCTTCCATACCTTCTGGCATCCACACAAACAAATTTCTTAGCGTGAGATCCAACAAAAAGGTAGACTTCACTCCCTTTACATACAATGAGTGGAGATGCATCAACACAAGACTCCATATTCACTTTCCATAATTTTTGCACAGAACCTTTTCTTTCTCTTGAAATTTGCAGAGAGGAGATTGTGTGACATAAATTATTATGCCCACCATTACAGTGCATTATTTTGTTGCAACGGCTGACAGAACATGCTGCATTAAATGAATGAGAACTCCAGAAGCCATTGTCTTTCAGATTACCATCCTTTGGAATGATGCACAAACTTGAATCTTTTTTCAATAATTTAGTAGGATGTTCTGTATTTGAATTGTCAACTGCTCCAAACATTCTTCTACGTGGCTTAATTCCATGAGGACTACCAGTTTTGGAAAACGCTGGGAGCAATATTTCATCCGTTACTCCTGAATCCACATTCACATTATCCTCATTTCTTGAATCATAATGGGAAGAACCTATCTTCCTCTCAAGAGCCATTTGAAGCTTCAATGGGGTTGGAAAAGCATACAGTAATTTCATGTTGATTCCTAAGTTGTAAGCAACATATGCTGCAGACACCGAATTACCACCACTATGAAAAAAATTATCATGAATGGAGATGTTGTCAACCATCAAAGCTTCACTGAAAACCTGCTTAATTGGAGCCAAACATATTGGTCAGAAATACTTTCTTGAGGAAATGATACTAGCTTACTTACTAGCTCTAGTACAATCTAATTATGAACTAAAAAATTTTGAAAAAACCAAAATGGATCTCTCTTTAATAGTAAAAAAAAAGAACTCTTAAATGGTCAAACATTTCTATAAAGGTGCATATCAGAAAATATGTCCCACAGGCCCACCAAATGGCATATCAAGTTTGGAGCATTTCAACTTAGGAAGCAGATAAAAAATGTTAAATTTTTTATGCAAGAAATGCACTTCCGTATATACACAGCATACCACATTTGGACAGTGATATATCCATGGGTAGATTTCTCAATTAAATAAAAACATGCTACCAAACTGTAGCATCAGATTTACACTTCGACACAGGCAGTAAAAGAAGTTAATTAGAAATAAAATAATCAACCCTTTTAGCTCTTCACCACCCTCTATTTTGAAAAAAGACCATTCTGAGAACAAATTTATAAGTCATCAGAAGAGATAAATCAGCTGCTTTTTAAAGTAACATGAACTATTGTTTTTCATTCCTTTAGCTCTCTAGTTTTCTGTTTGAATGTTCACAAGCTACTCTATACTTCAATTAGCCACTTTTTATATGGCATCAATTCATTTTTGTGTATTTCTAATGTGTCATTTCATTTGGTATTACCTTCTTTAATCAAAAAAAGACAAGAATGGAAGGTTATCCATTATACAAGGCAAACCTGCAAAATTAAAAAATGCGATACTAACAGATGCCACAGCTATGAACCTAAGGAAGCACTGTATAAGTATGCATTTGTGTGTGTGTATATGTTTACAAGTAAAATTTTTTTAAAAAAATTAAGAACAAAATAAGTACAGCCAGCTCTTCAAAGACATGATTGATAAAATAAGTACCAAAAGTTTGATGATCCAGTGCTTGTACTAATACTTACCATATGTTAGTTAGAACTAGTCTTGATTAGAGTGAAAGAAAGAAGAGAGATGTCAAACTGGTTGGCAATGTCAAGATAAAAAATTACCAGCTAGCAGAGTTATAAGTTAGCACAAGCTGACAGTTCTCACATGTTTTGGTCATAAAAAACAATACTAAAGTTCACAATCACTCCAATCTACTCTATTCAAATGTAAGCAAAGCATGCAAAGACATACACAAGTTTTCCTACTTATTAATTCAGATTTACCAGATCACCAGAATATCCTGCAATTGGCACAATAATTTGAAAAGGGAAAAATTATAATAAAACTGAAGAAGTACCTAATGCTAATTATGCAGAATGAGAGTTCAGTTTGGACAAACATCACAAAGAAGAAAAAAATAAAAAAGCAAGGAAAAACACTTAAATCATGAATACTTATCAAGAACCTTTTGTATAAATTTCAAGTCATCATTATCCCAAATTTCTCCAACATAACTCCGACCATGTGCCCTTGAACTTGAGGAATCATCCAACATATTATAATCCACTTTCCCCGAGGAAGTAGTAGGAAATGATTCACTAAAGAAGATACGACTAGGAATCAGTGCTTGTGGAAGTTTCTTGACCATCCAACTCCTAATTGAAGATTTAAAGTTTTCATTGGAGTCTTGCATTTTCTTTGGCACCAAATAAGCTTCAATACTTGAGATTTCTCCGTGCTTTTTTAGGCAAGTTACTGCTGCATCAACTATATCCGGATGTTCCCTCAATGTGTTCTCTATCTCTTCTAAAGCAATCCGCTGCCCATTGAATTTTATGGTGCGGTCTTCCCTTCCGATAAAAATAAAATCACCACTTTGAAGTTGTCTTGCAAGATCACCAGTTTTGAAGTAACCCTGTAGTCTCGGATCCCTGGAGGTATGATTAATAAAAGAAGTTTGTGGCAATTTTGCAGGGCCAAATGGAGTAATGGAAAGATGATCAAAGTATCCAACACCATTACACAGTCCACGAACGTAAATTTCTCCATATTTTGGTGCATTTTCCCCAATGAGCACCACATCACAGTTTGAAAGAGGTAAGCCAATCGGAACACTGCTCACAATCTCATTTTCCAAGATCAGTGGCAACTGCTTGCAATCAAAGTATGTACAATCACCTGCAACCTTGGTTTTTAGAATTGAATATGTAAGATATTGAAGAAAGAAACGTGCAAGACATTGACTAAAACCAGGAGAAATGTTAGCGAGTTGCAGATCAGAATTTCCAAGGCTCTAAAAACATCAGATAAAATGTATGCATAAGTTTTTTTTTTTTTTTTTTGGGGAGGAAGTGCAGTATCACCATCACAATATGCTGCGACACCTTGAGCAATCCATACACAGAGTTTGCATTGGCAACCATAAATACAGAAATTACAAATATGATCCCGGGCTGCATAACTAATTCCAGAATGGCAAAACTGGCTGCAGTTTAGTGCATAAGATGCTCCTCTAACATACTACAAAAACCTTCCTAAAGGGGATAGCATTATAACTAAGTCTTCATATAACAAAACTATATTGTAGGCGTTTCTGGAACTTGGTTCTCACAATAAACAATCACATACCCCACTTTCCAAATTTTCAAAACATAGGTGACAGGACCAGGTTAGTGTTAGGTACATACGTGATTTTGTGTCCAAAAAGTTTTGAGAAAAAAGGAATAAAGAAAAAAGAATCCTAGTTTTCGATGTACAAAAAATCAAAGGACAGTTTGATCAAGTCCAACAGTCTAAACTGCAATATCAACCAAACATAGTGGAGAAAGAACAGAAAAGATTGACTGAACCTGGACAGATCTACTAAGAAGATCCATTAAGAAGAAAATGGTAGATCTCTAAACATTTATGCCTCAGACGTTAATCTAAAGCATTTTTCAGCTATCAAGGAGGAGATGGCATTTCTTGAAATATGGCCATCAACTTTATTATGCCCCTTAGCTCAAATGGAAAGTTTCCTACAGAGTTGCATGTAGGTCTGACACCCCTTCTACCTTTATTGTTTGACAATCTTGTATTCTTATTTTAGGGGGTCCTAATTAAAGATAACATAGGCACTGGAAAAAGGAGCAGAAATGTAACAGCAAAACCAAAAAGCACTGAAGATATAGCTATTCCTGGTGGCATCTGATAAGTAGCAACAATTAAGTCTCCTAACCTCTGTACTCCCGTATAAGTTCAAGATAGCAGTATGGGGCAATAGCTTCAGCAAACTCTCACATAGGGACAGGTGCAAAACTTCACCAGTTAAAACTAGCAACTTCAAAGAACTACGAAGTCCCATATAATGTGGACCTTGCAAAGGAAGGAGGACTGCTCTCAATAGTGATGGAACTGCAACGAGCCTGTTAACAGAGTATATCTGTCAAAGAAACAAAAAAAGCAAATGCTCTTATACTCTGGACCATGAGCAAGAATGCAGGACCTTGGCACATGCATTTATCTTAAAGGAAGATAAAATCAAATTGCTAACTTTCTAAACTTATAATGCGTTTTTTTATATTTAGACATCTACTCCTGAGGTTACATAACCTTTGTAATTATTGAGAATAATGCAGCCACAGGAAAAAGGGAAATCAAAAACACAAAAAGTAAAAAAAAAAAAAATGTTCAGAATTGAGAAAAAATTATTCAACATGTTGAGATATATTGCTGCTTATTACTTTCGCAAAATTTATAACAATGTTTGAATCTCAAGTGCAGTATAACGAGAAGAAAGGTTTTTAAGATCTGCAATATATCAATTATAGCCTGTTTAGCTCCGTTGTTAAATCGTGCTCATTGTTCCATCACTTGGCTTCTTCTAGCTTTTTTGCAATGTAAGAATTTGGTTACATTCTTTACAAGACATACTACACATTGACATCCCAGAGAAAAAACAATTCAGGTATGCAGCGGCAATTAAACTTTGACATGTGGTCCAAGAGAATTACAACTTGCTTTTAAGAGAAATAAAGTACAGACAGACTATAGGCAGAAGACACCATCAACAACATATGATAAACTAGTTCCAGTGAACGTGAAGCTATTACATGTGCTTTCGTGAAGCATACTACTAAAGCATAAAAGCCAAAAACTTTTGCCTCATGTGAATAAGATATTAAATGGCTAAGTGGCCCAGAAGTTGTTTATGATCTCATTACATGTCCCCAAAGTAAAAATTTTTTTGCTTCCATCAGTGATATCATTTACATGACACCCCAAAAATTGACAAAGTTCTATCAAGTTTTAGTAGACAATTTTCAAATACTTTAGCTAGTTACCTGTAAAAAGTCAACCATGCAAAGTATATTCTCTTTCAGCACATTGAATGGAGGTACAACTAACGTAGAAGTAGTTAGTATGCCACTCAGAAATTCTTGCAAATGATCAATAAAGCTTATGGATGTCTTGAAAACCAGATAATCTTGTCCATGCATGGGATATAAGTCTTGCATCCATAGGAACCGATTTAGTAGACCTGAAAAAGGGCTGACAGAAAACATTGTGATGCAGATGAATATCAGAAGGAAATTCAAAATTCAAAGTAATGATTGGATTTAAACTAAGCATTTACAGTTGAGGCAGTTAAAATCCATAAGATGTTCCAATAAAGAGCCTAGAACACCAGCTAACCTGCTTCAGTACCACATACACCTTTAGGCTTTCCTGTTGATCCTGATGTGTACATCAAGTAACAAAAGAGTCTGGACGATTCACTTTCACAGGGCCATACTAAACTACATAAATGACTTTGTCTTTGAATGCACTGCCTAATAGAAATACACAAAACAGGACAATAGCCACGAGAAGCAAGCCAGTGTACATTATCGAGCTGATGAAAACAACCATCATCAACTAAACTTTCACACCCAATAATAAGATCAGCTCTTGAAGAAAACACAACTGACAGTATCCTTTCTTCGGGCCAAGATGGGTCTAGAGGCATGAATGACTCTCCACACCTTAAAACAGAGAGGACTGCAACAATGTACTCCACAGAAGGTTCCATATATATCCCAATTCTTCTTGGCATACATTTATCATGCAGCTTGGTAACCTGCTCTCCACTCAGGCTAAAAAAGCCCATAGATTCAGAATTTTTATCACTATTCGCCTGTTGCCCACCAAGTTTGTATCCTGCTCCAGAAATATGATAAGCAAAAACAAACACAAATAAACGTCAAGAATATTAACTTGGACAATTAAATTTCTCATCATTTACAGTTAGAAAAGGCAATGCTCCAATAAATATCTTTCAATTGATCCCTTCTTCATCCGTGTTACATCTCTTTCTTTACATTTTTTCTATTGAAAAGTAATCTAACGTTAAAATAACGCTTATTTTTTCACACAACGTCGAGCAGAAACATTAATTTCAGATTATGCAAGATTATGCAGAAACCAAGTACTTAGAACAAAAACTGACAGCTTTACCGTCCTTTTACACATTTACACGAATCAGATAGCTAAAACTGATTTTAACTTTTACAGAATTACACATTACTTCAGAATTTGCTACAAAAACTAAATTCACCATATCATCACATCAATATTATCATGAAACCATACAACTCTAACCCACAAAACCAAAACAAAACAAATAAAAAAAAATCATCTTTCTGCATTAGTACCAGATTGAGGTTTGATAATATGGGGGTCATCAGCACCATCAAGAATGCGCCTGAGCCGAGAACTCAGAGAATTAACTGCAGAGAGAATTTCAGAATAAGTAAAGCACTCGTCGCCTCCGTAAACCGGTGGCTGCTTAGACAATAAAGGCGGTGCCGTTTTGGAGTCAACTAATTCAGGATTAGAAACAGGTCTAATCTGCTGGTCGAAGCTCAAGTGACCGTCGTATTGCTGGGAAATTAGTTTAGCGCCACCGGAGGCGTGTATGACGGCGATTTTGTCAGGTGAGTTTGTGGCGGCATTTTGGAATAAGTGTGATACGCAGCATATAGGAAGCTTCAGCTCTGGCGGCATTGGTGGTGGTGGTGGTGGTGGTGGTGGTGGTGCATCGTTCGCCATGGTGGGTGGTTTGGGAAAAGACAGGGCCAGAGTTTTGTATTCAAGACGATTTCACCAAAAGCGTGCTGCCACCCACGTCTTTTTCCTACTGGATGGATTTTCATCACTTTTTTGTTGGGCCAATAACTCCAACATTTTTAAATATTCTGTGGGCCACTAATGTTAAAATAAATCAATTTGCAAATCGATGAATACTTATAAATTATGTAAGGCCTGTTTGATAACGCAATTAATCACTTAAACTTAATCAATTTAAATCTTAATATATTCAGACGAATAACTAAAAATTGAACATCTGAATTAATTAAGTGATACTGAATTTTCTAAACAAAACGTGCTCTCAAAAATAAGTGATAAACTATTCACTTATTTCTGAATGTGATATACACTTAAATGTATTTGATTTAATACTTAACAATTCAATAATTTAATGGATTTAGATTTTATAGTTCAATTTTCAAATTTCAGTTTTATCAAACACACTCTAAACCACTGGGTGCGTTTAATAAAATTGAAATCCGAAATCTAAAATCATAAGTTTTAATCCATTAAGTTATTTAATTATTAAATACTAAGGGTGCATTTGATAAAACTGAAATCTAAAATCTAAATCTATTAAACTATTGAATTGTTAAATTAAATCTAATACATTTGAGTGCATATCATATTCAGTGATAAGTGAATAACTTGTCACTTAATTCTGGGAGCAAGTTTTGTCTGGGAAATTCAGTGACACTTAATTAATTTAAATATTTAATTTTTTATTATCAAACGGTCTGAATATGTTAAGATCTGAATCTGTTAAATTTAAATGCTGAATTGAGTTATCAAACAAGGCATAAATTTGACACATTTGAATGTATATCACATTAAATAATAAGTGAATAACTTATCACTTATTTTTAAGAGCAAATTTTTTTTAGAAAATTCAATGCCACTTAATTAATTCAGATGTTTAATGTTTTGTTATCAAACACATTTGAATATGTTAAAATCTTAATCAATTAAGTTTAAATGTTGAATTGAGTTATCAAATATGACTTTAAAAACTTATAGGCATATTGCCTACAATTTGCCATTCACTAGTGCTTTGGCACACTTTCCTTGTGTGCTTATTCCAAAATATATAATTAAATTTTTTAGAATAAGTCATTGTACGTAGAATTATGTTAGAGTATGTATATTTTTTGTCCAAAAACCTATAAATACTACCCTTTTTTATTTAGGAAGTTATTATATTTAAAATTATGATAGAGAAAAAGAAAGAATGTATCTAATTATAGTGAAGAGTTAAATCATCGTAGAGAAATAGAGAGAACTTGAATAGTTTGAAAACTAATTTTAAAAGATATTTTAACATAACATTAAGTGACATAAATTATTTACATTAAAAGAGATCCTCTCCCATTATATATAATATAGATATAGATATTTAGGTAGTCAATGCATCTACCACTCTTTCACAACCGTCTTTAAAAGATTCAATTTGAGGGAAGCGCTAGGTTGAGTAGTAAAGTGGGAGAAATTATAAATCGAAAGTCTTTGGTCAAAACCTCCCACTTTAAAAAAAAAAAAAAGGGACTTCAATTTGATTATCATGTTACATCCATTTTGCTAATCATGTTTAGGTAGTCCATCACATCTACTTTTTGCCCTTTTTTTTTTTTTTGGGAAACGTAACAGTTATATTAATCATCAGTAACTTTACAAAGTGTTGGGCAAAGGCCCCAACAAAGCTGTACAATAGTGCATAATCGCACTAAGGAGTATGATGCAGCCTCTCCTCATCACAAAAAAATGCTTAAAGCGTGAACGCTAAGCCTATGACATAAATCCATATTTCTGGTATTTTCTAAACTAAAGGAGCGGCTAGAGCCTTCTACCAATGTGACAAGTTTTAATGTGATTGGAGCTTCCTTGGTGGACTGATGAAAGCAAGTTCTTGTCCTTGATACTGATTGTAATTCTTGTCCACTTTTGCTCCTTGGCTTTTATCAATGCCAAACGAATTGCCGTTGCTTCATCTTGAGATTTTTTTATTGGACCCTCTTTCCGCCATTACATCAATTTTTTGCAACAAGAAGAATTTCATATTAAAAGATTCTAGTGATGGGGCATCTTTCCAGCTAACAAGGGGACACTGTATTAATAACAATGATTCCAATGTTGAAATTCTGACAATGTGCTCCATCTGTCAATTCTGACAATTTGCTCCATCTGTTGAAATTCAGACTAGCTGACTAGCGCAGGTGAAAGAATGGAGACTCCGGCAGTCCAATATCTATCTGAATGTTTTATCAGACCAAAGTACACTCCAGAAGAGTCGAAACAACCAGTTTACTTGGCACCATGGGATGTGGTTGCGGTCTTTATGCACTATATGCAGAAAGGCTTCGTTTTTGCAAAGTCTCTGGCATTTGACACTGATGAGAACCAAATTCAAGAATTCGTGCAGAAACTAAAGGAGTCTCTTTCTATAACCCTTGTTCATTTCTATCCATTGGCTGGTCGTCTTGCAACACAGAAAAAAGAAGAGAATCCTTCTGATTTGGCATTCTATATCGACTGCAGTAAAGGGCCTGGGGCACGATTTATTCACGCATCCCTGGACCTGACTATAGATGATATAACTTCACCGACAGATATTCCTCGAATTGTAGGATCATTGTTTGATCACGGAAGGTCAGTCAACTATGCTGGTCACACCAAGTCTCTGCTGACCATTCAAATCACTGAGCTGATAGATGGGATCTTCATTGGATGTTCCATGAACCACATGGTTGGAGATGGGACGTCTCTCTGGCATTTCTTGGACTCATGGTCGGAGATATTCAAAGCTGAGGGGAGGACAAGTGCTATCTCAAGACCCCCAGTACATGATCGATGGTTTCCACGAGGACCACATGATCCATTTCTTAGACTTCCATTCATTCACCATGATGATCATCAAGTCATCATCAGCAGAGACAAAGCAAACACATGGCTGGACGCTATTACTGCTGTCTCAAGAACACCAGCACATGATGGATTGCCTTCACAGGGACAACATGATCCATTACTTAGCCATCTACTTAGGGCCCGTGATGATCAAGTCATCATCAGCATAGATGATGGAGATAACGACACGATCAGGGAAAGAATATTTCATTTCTCATCAGAGTCAGTGGCAAAGATAAAGGCAAAGGCAAATGCTGAACGCAATACCAATGAGATTTCTTCTTTACAGGCTCTGTCAGCTCATCTGTGGAGATGTATCACTAGGGCTCGAAACTTCCCATTAGATCGCCAAACAGCGTTCTTTACTATTATGAATGTTAGATCAAGGTTAGTTCCACCAATGTCTCAGGACTGCTTTGGTAACTACCTAGAGCCAGCAATGGCAACAACTGGCTGTGGCGAATTGCTGGAACAGGGCCTAGGATGGGCAGCCTGGCTGCTGCATCAAGCAGTGATCAATCATTCAAATGAATGGATCAATTCATGGCTGCAAACGCCAATCCTACCTCGTAGGGCTGATGAGCCTGATCCCAATACTGTACTTCTGGGAGGCTCTCCACGATTCAACATGTATGGAACTGAATTTGGACTTGGGAAACCAGTTGCAATCCGAAATGGGAGTGGAAATAAATTTGATGGAAAATTGATAGTGAGTCCAGGAGCCGAAGGAGGGGGAAGCATGGATTTCGAGATTTGCCTTGTACCACATGCAATGACGTCTCTTGAATGTGACAGGGAGTTTATGGAGACCGTCTCTTAGTTTATGAAGGGCAAGTTAATTACTGAGTTCAAGAATTGTTTTCCTGTAGCGAATGCTATAATTTCAGACTCTCCAGGTAGCCGACCTGGTGGCGTTGCTTCTAGTTAGAGCATCCACCCTGTCACAAAAATGGGGAAAAACCCAACAACCCAAATAAGGGTTTCCTGCAGTGAATGCTATAATTTCGATGCTTATGATGATAATGCATGGTAGCAGTATGGTGATATTCTAAATTAAATTGCATCTTGTGATGGATGATTGGACTTTAAATTCTTTAGACTTTTTTTGTTGTTTTGCTTGTTAAATGTGTTAGAGGCAGATTTTTTTTTTATAGTGTGTAGAGATATCTTTCTTTTGAATGGATTGATTCCATCAATGAATAGCATTTTTACAATAAAATTCAATGACAAATACATAAAGAATTTGACTCACTTTTGAGGCCAGCAAGCTCAAATAACATTTTGAATTCAACTAGTGAGACAGCCAATCAATTTTAAATGAAATAGGTTTGTCGTAAGCTACTTTGTAATGTAATACTAAATTTGTAGAAAGTTAGTTTACTCAATGATAAGTGGATTAATTACATTTATCTCCCCCGAAATTTGACCAAATTTCCAATCAAACCTTGAGGTTTGACAAAATAACAGTCAAACCCTCTGCCGAGCAAACCTTTATCAAAATCATCCCTACCGTCTTGAGTAGTTAGTGAAGCTGGTATGGTCAGCAAAAAATTAGTGTGATAATCCCAAAATGCCCTTATAGAGGCCATGTTTTATCATATTGCTTACATAAAAATTATATATATATATATACATAAACCAACAAATTGAATAAAATAAGAATTCACCCTTCTTTGCAGTCAATTTCATCACATATTCTAATTCCTCCTTTATCTTTTCTCCTCCTCCTCCATCTTTCTAAACCAAAGTCGTTGTTTTTTCCTATTCCATCCAATTTTTTATTTCTTCTTCGGTTAAGCCACTAAGAACATGCGAAGATACGGACATTATGGTGCTGGATTCGGACTAGAATTGGTAGAGTACTATGATGTTTAGAGAAATCATTTGCTATTGTTTAGATACACAAGTGAAACTATTATCTTCAAAAAGACTTGGCTACTTGATTTGTGTTTTTTTTTTTTTCCAGTTTTTTGTAAATTGAGATTTGGAAGTTTGTCCTTCATATCATTTGAAAGGCTTTGTCTTAAATATGGTAAGGGATAGGAAAAAGACTTGTGTTAAATTTGGTAAGGGATAGGAAATGGGTTTTTGAAGAAGGTAATGGAGCAGCTAGTTATTAATCTTCACTCGCAATTTTTTTATTTTATTTTTCTTTTTTGTTTCAATTTTATCCGAAAAAATGGAAGTAGTCAACATAAATAGGTTCATTTGACTTGATCATGTTCTACTTCTACCCCGATGACAAGTGCTTTGCTATAAATAGAGTGAAATTTGGTCTTTGCTTCCGTTGGGAAAGGAGAGGTTATAGAGCAGCCTAGCCTCACATGTAGGCCCATTTAACGATTGTGCAGTGAATTTTGGTTGAGTTTGTAGCCAGAATTGCAACCCACACAAAAAGATGAAGAGGGCATAAATTTTTTTACAAAGTTTGCCATTAGATGGCGGGAGTCGGCGTCGGCGATTGGCAACGGACAAATTTCTAACTTTGCGATGGATTTCAAAAAAATTCTACAAGAGGGTGATGATTTTGGTTTGAAATTCCGGCTAGGGATCTTCGCATTCAGGAAATGCGAGGTTACATATGGAATGCGAGCTCACGTGGAAAAAAAAATTATTTTATTATTGAACTCGCATTTTCGAGAAAACGCGAGCTCAAAAAAATTTGCTAAATGCATAAAAATCAGGCTTTTGCATTGCGAGATCAAACCTTTTATGCTGTTTGAAAGCTAAGCAGCAGCACACTCACGAGCTTTTCAGAGTTCAGAAGGAAAAAGAAAATATGGTTGGTTGGGGATGACTGCTGAGGTAGTAAAAGTAACGGGAGGGGGCAAATTCGCCTGGCAGAAATGGCGGAAATCTGGTGGAAGCTCAGAAATGGTGGACACCGACAGACGAGAAAGAGAGAGTGAGCGAGCGATTTTGTCTTGCTCCTCTTGGAAGCTTGGAAACGAGAGGGCGGACTCTGGCAGAGCTAAAGAGGAGAGAGTGAGGGGCTTCGCAGATTTGCAGATTCTCCCTCCAATTGGTTACTAGAAAAGCGGTCCAAAGACATTAAGGCAGCCACTTGATTCGCAAGTAACCTACCGCTTTCTTGTAAAGAGTTATGGCTTCTCAAAACAAAGTAAACAAAGGGATTGAAAAAAGATGAATAAAGCCGTTTAAACTTTGGAATTATCTGGTGGCGAAACAATCTCAACAATAAAGGTATGTGTTATGAAGATACTATATTACTTGTAAGTCCTCGTCTTTAATTAGATTTGATATAGTTAAAAATATATATATAGCACAAATTTTCTCAAATATGTTTTCTTCCTTACTCTTCCTCAATTAACTTTTAAAGGAAATTTAACTTCAAAAAACCATTCAAGAAACCTTCCTTCTAACTGTTTGATTAGTTTCCAAATGATACTCGCAATCGGCTTCATTCATTCGATAGAAATCAACAAAACCATTTTGTATCTTTAAACAATGACCAATCTGTTGGACACTAGTGTATGAATTATTATATTTTTTAAGAGTAAATCTTATATACACTGACGTTGTATACACTATCACGGCTGAATATATAACATATATGCAAAATTTGAGTTTCAAATTCAAATTCGAATTATGTGTCATGCATCTAATGGTGAAAGTATATACACTATCAGTGTATAGAACATTAATTCTTTTTTTTTTTTTTTTTTATAGAAAGGGGAATGATGGGATTTGATAAGTAGAGATGAGGAAAATAGGAATTTGAATTCAAGATCTCTAATTCCTGAAGTTTAAATCTTAGTCACTAGACTATAAATCATTACATATTTACTAGCTATACTATATTAAGTCCCATTTTCTAGAAAATAGTCCCAAGTGGCGCCCGGTTTCACTGTTAATCAAGGTTGTTTCTACACTCGACAAGTTTAGAGTTGGTTACAAAAGAAAAAAGAGAGCATACATAGTCATAAGATGTTTTGCCAAGGCAAATAATTTCCTAAATTTGTCTAATAATTTCAATAAACTATTTTATAGAATTTTACTCCAAAAGAATATGAAATTAACCAATTTCCATGACTCTTCTTTAGAGAAACTTACCCCAAGAAACAAATAAATTTTTCAGTCAAATCAAATTCCTCATATGAATGCTCAAAGTAGGTTGTGTTCCCTATTTATATTATCTTGTGAGTATTATAGACTTGTACCCCATAATCACAAGAAAGGACTTTTATGTATCAAATTCAATGACATTGCCCCCCAAAAAAAAAATTTTCAATGACATTGAACATGGTTGTATTGTATCCCAAAGAAAAATATGATGGTAAAGGACCTAAAGGTACCTTCAATTGAAAACACGTGAATCATATCTGCGTCATGAAAAATACAATTGCTTGACTGATTTAGTCTTTCAACTTTATAGTTTTAACTATTATGGTCCCTTAGTAATATGTGCAGACACAGATAACTTGGTCAAAGTAATGCTTCAAACAAAAAAAAAAAAAAAAAAAAGAATACTTGGTTAAAGTAATCCTTTTAAAAAAAAAAAAAATTGAGAGTCGCTAACGAAGATGAGACATCCTATATGGGTTCGTGCCATTTTTCAATAAATATTCAAAATTTCTAAATAATTTATACAACCGTAAAAGTGTAAAACTCACCGAATATTTTGTAATGAATAAAATAGTTTTTTGTACTTTGTCGCAAATAATCCTGAAGAGTTTTCTCTGACTTTTAGTACATATCTCCACGATATTTTCGGCTAAAAGAAGAAAAAATTAACTCTATGATTAACATTTTGTTTGAAAATTTTTTAAGTTATATAAATTTATTTTCTTCACTTTAATGTGTTTTTTTTTTGTGAGTTTTAGAAATTTAATAAATTATTTTGGATTTTAAAGTCGTTATAATTTTTCTAGACTAATGTTATGAAAGTTCCTTAATTGGTCTCTAAACTTCATTAGCAACTCTTAATTTTTAGATAAATGGATCACCTTTGGCCAAAATTTTTTTAAAGTTAAAGAGACAAATTTTGTTTGCTATTATAATTCCGATCCGTAATGGTTAAATCTTTAAAGGTTTGGGACCAATTTGGTCATTTAGTTTTGTTTTAGCAATGCATGTGCAACTCACGTGACTTTTTCATTAGCTTTTCTCAATTTGTGTCAAAGGTCCTACACTGGTCAACTTTATTAAAAATAAGAGACTAAATTCATACACGGTGATAGATGAGGGATAACATTAAGCAAGATTTCGAAAGTAAGAGACCGGTCATTTTCTATGTGTCCACGCTCCAGATGACTAAGAATAGATTTGCTGGGTATGTCTGGAAATTAGCCTATCAGCAACCACTTATATTTGTTTTTTTAATAATAAAAATAGAATAATTTTATTGATCATGAAATCAAATCTGCAATAAGTGTAGAACTGGTAAAAGATGAAGGAGAGATTCTCCATATACAAGAATCTAAAAGATTAACAGCATACCTAGCAAGGTTATGAGTAAGAACATTAAAAGATTTATGACTCCATATGAAGCGCATGAAATCTTGACATAAACAATGGCGTCATCAATCAACAAACCACATGATGAATCATCAGATTCCAAATGATCCAACATTTTGATGACCATTTGTGAATATCCTTCTGGAACAATCTTATTGAAACCCAAATCATGCAGTAATTGAATAGCATATTGAGCCGCATATGGTTCAATTATATTTGGTTCCAATATCCCAAGAATTTTTTTGGAAAGTTCAACAATGAAACTTCCATTATAATCTCAAATAATAACACCAACCCCTGGTAATCCGTCATCCATAAACACAGTTTCGTCAAAATTTGCCTTAACAAAACCTGCACTGGATCATATCCAACGAGATATTGATGACCTCGATTGATAGAGGTAGGCATATTAAATTTATCTTTGGAATTTGGTCCATGGAATTGATTTAGGAATGCTATAGATGGGGGGACCAAACTAAGAGAATACCTATAAGGTCCATCAAAAATCGCTCCAAAATACAAAGTATAACACTCACCAATA